TCTCTCTCTCTCTCTCAAAATAAATAAACTTAAAAAAAAAAGCATCAGAGAAGTAACAAGATTTGAGGAATTGCTGAATTGTGATGCTGAGATACTGAAGAGGGGAAAGTGGAGACGTGAAGTCTCTTCTGAAGGTTGCTTATGCCCTGGGGCTTTGCTCTGGAAAAGGCTGAACTGCAATTGTGGCTGCATGGAGGGGCTAGGGTGAACATTTCAAAGTCAGGTGGTTCTGGATTGCTAGTGCCCTCAAGAGCTGGTAAATAATAAGTTCTTTTTAGAGAAAGACACTATTATCTTGAGCCTCAAGGTATTTCTATAAATAACTTTCAAAAACAATGTCCAGTACACAAAGATAACCCAAGGACATCAGACAGCATGAATAAGAACAGTAGGTACAACAGGTCATAGTAGTAGACTCATAGGGTCTCCAGATATTGAAATGATCAGCACAGATTACAAAACAATAAAATCCAAGAATGGAAAATTTGGCTGGGAAATAGAAACTTTAAAAAATGATATTACAAATGTTAAACAGGGGGAACAATGTAAATTCTGGAACTTAAAACTACAATAACCAAAATTAAGAACTGAAAGAATTTTACCAGCAGATTAGAAATAGTAAAGGAAAAATTAATTAACTGGAATACAGGTCAGAAGGAAATACCAAGAATGATGCATAATGGGAAAAAAAGAAAGGAAATGCAGAGGGGCGGGTAAGAGACATGATATCACAATGAAAAGGTCTAAGCAGAGTCCGAAAGGAAAGGAAAGAATGGACATAGGCAATAATTGATGAAACAATGGCTCAAAAATTTCCAGAGTTGATGAAACACATTAAATCATACATTTAAGAATCCAACAAATCCTAAGCAGGATAAATACAAAATTCACTGCCTTACACATTAGTGAAACTGCAGAAAACCAAAGACAAGGAGAAAATAGTAAAAGTGGTCAGAATAAAACAGACAAATTACCTTTAAAGGTCACAACAGGGGTGCCTTGGTGGCTCAGTAGATTAAGCATTCAACTTCAGCTCA